ACCCAGCTGGCGCAAAGGCGCCATTCTTAGGCTTTCCCCACCTTGTCCGCGAAGATGCACTCTTTGTCGACGTAATTCATACCGATGCTGGGACAACGTTCGACACACGCGGATACGATGGCGATTGTGGCCACATCGATTTTTGGCCGAACAATGGTCGAGCCATTCAACCAGGATGCGAAAACGTGAAAGGTTAGCCAAATGCGATTATATCCTATTTGCGTGCATTATGCTGCTTAATTATGCTTGCCACATGTTGGGGCAGTTTTTGGCTGCACCAAAGAAATGTAGTGCTTTTCAGTGTGTTGCCACGATAAAAGCTGTCCTAAACCGTATCACATACACTGCTCATCAAAATTAGCGGGCGGATTCTTCAAACGGATGTATTTTCTATGTTTTTGGAGCTAGGAAGCTAAGATGCGATATGAAGGCGTCCCAATCATTTATGTCGAGGCTCAGAAAGTACGTAGGCCGTTGGCCAACCCCAACGAGCTGTGCACCCCTTAGAGTGGAGGAGGGTTTAAAACCCAGCCGTAACAACTCCAAAATTGACACTGTGCTCGAAAAGTCAAGACAAAACTTTAACCCTAAGGGTCCGAAATGGACGATACACAAAAAGAGGTTGAACGTTCGCGGGGGTGGTTTGGCCGGGGGTTGTCCGATTCGAAAAAAAACACATGGATCGTGTACATGGCACGTCCCCAGAGGATATCGAGCTGGTTTTGACCAACCACAAAAGTCACTCTGGGTGTGAATGTGGAAGGGGTGGGTTTGTCCAATTGCAATTTTGCTTACACTGTTCGAAAGAGAACAAAAAGTTGAGTTGATTCATGAAAAATCTTGACTTTTGGAGTACTTACAGTGTCAGTTTTGGAGTTATTAAGACTGTTTTTTCACCCTCCTCCACTCTAAGGGGTGCACAGCTCGTGGGGTTGGCCAACGGCTTGCGCACTTTCTGAGCCTCGAGATGAATGATTGGGACGCCTGCATGTCAAATCTTAGCGTAGCTCAAAAAACATACAAACTACGTCCGTTGGATAAACCCGCCCGCTAATTTTCATTAGCAGTGTACTTGTAATAGGCCGTGGAAAGTAATCGGCCCTTGTGCTACGAATCCTAGTCGTTTATATTTTGTCCACATCTTTAATTATTCCCGGTTAAAAAAATACGTAGTTGTTGGCTGCGCGAATAGCAAAGTCAATTACGCCGTCTGGTCGGAAAACGCAAACGAAGCCCATTACGCGATATCTCACGGAATACTGTTACGCTGCGACCCGCCTGGCATATATCTACCTTGGCCTGCGGCTCAGACATCCGAGAAGAGTAGTGGAAAATGTACACAGAGATACGAGCCTACGGCCTGCCACTTTCGTGTAAAATGCAGCGTTGTACACTCTAAATGTAACAGGACAATTTTGTCCATAGACATCCAGAAAGGATGCAAGTTTGTTCCTAAATCTAGACAAATTGTGTGAGGCTTGACAAAATTTTGTCCAATTTAAGGAACAAAATTACACTGATATATAAAGTGTGCAACTGACACACACTTTAAAGTGTTTAACAACGTGTGGCATACTTCTATGTATTCAACACGAGTTTTGAATAGTTGGAAGTGTGAACAGGTGTGTTGCACACTTTTAAATTTTCAACCTGACCGTCGAGCACTATAGCTCAACGCTCAAGTTGAACACTAAAAAGTGTGCAACACACCTGTTCTGTTGAACACTTCCAACAATTCAAAACTCGTGTTGCACACATAGAAGTATGCCACACGGTGTTAAACACTTTAAAAGTGTGTGTCAGTTGCACACTGTATATATCAGTGTACATCCTTTCTGGATGTGCACGCATCGGTTCCATTTCTATGGACAAATTGGTCCTTTTACATGTAGAGTGAATTTTTTAGCTCTTTGCCAAAATTAAGATATGCACAGGCAGCCGTCACGAACAGCAGGGCGCAGCAGAGGCTTACGCTCTGGGTAGCGCCCACCATCTTGTGTTCGTGCTTCTGCACTACCCCCACATTTCCCCAAAAAATCCGAATTTTTGAGATTCCCGGGCGCGTGGTTTTAGCTGGAACGCCCCTCTGTGGAGGGAAAAGTAATTGGCTGAGCGATTAGCTATTAGAAAACTACAGATTATTGACACGGAATGACCTCCGCAGATTCAGGGGTGCTCTGGAAATTCGGGTGTGAGACAGTCTCACACCAAATGGTGTGAGGCTAAATACCTCACACCAAATGGTGTGAGACTGGTTGTGTCTCACATCAAATGGTGTATACGTATTTCCGATGACAGATTGCGACAGTCGGCTCATTTTT